GATTAGTCGGTTTGAAATATTTCAGAAAGGATTATTTTATTAAAATAATATTGATTAGAAACAGGATTACTTTAAGTGTTATAAGTTAAAATAATGCTTTCTCTTTTCTAATAAATAAAATTATAGAAATGGGGAATCATTCATTTATTTTAATGTTATCTGTGTTTTTGAAAATCCAAAGAGGAATTTGTAATGATTGTAGCCCTTTGCACGCCAGGTAATGCTACCAGAATGTCTTAATTCACAATTTCAGAAATTTTTTACAAAAGGTGCTTAAGCTTCAAAGTGAATGAACAAAATCGTGCCCCTCACACACAGTAACATCCATACATACAGAAAGAATTTCGATGGTTTTGTATTTCTCGACGTTTCAAGGTCTCGAGCACAAAAATGTAAAAATATTGGGAGGATCATTTCTTGACCGATCGCCATAAATTTCCTCTGTTATATATAACAGAGCCGGTTAATTATGTGAGAACTCGGACCCTACAAAAATCTTTTTTCGATTTCATCGTACACATTTTGACAACTAACGTTGTTGTTTATCCTTTACTACCTGAGAACTTGTCAATTTACGCGTTCTCGGCGGCGAAAGCGACGCTTTCCCGTGATATTTTCATTTCCCGGCCGTGCTCTACCGTTTTAATATCGGAACTGACGGCCCAATGAAACAGTCGCAGCCCATTTCTCCCCGTCTCATCGAGTCGCCACCCGGTCCTAGAACGGAAGTCGTCGCCACTTAACTCTGTGCCTCCGAAACGGATATACCATCGACTCTAACTCGGAACATTATCCAGAACTCTTTTATCTTCCAATATTTCGGATTAGTTAACCTTCCTAATTGACAGACCGAATCCGCTCCTACAAACTGATCCTTCAAACTATAGGTATTTATTTCCACGCGAATCATGTAAACGATCTCGCTTGCAACCACTTACGATGTAGATCAGTTAATAAATTACTAAGATTATTTATTTTTTGAACGAATTTTAATTTCATATTTGATCTTTACGTACCTCTCTGAACCAAATCATACACAATAGATAATTTTAATAGTGCGATTAGTGTTTTAAATTTACATGCACAGATAGTAAATAACAGAAAATTTATACTTTGTTACAGATATTATTCATGAAAAGTTCAGGAAAGGATGAAATTTATAATTAAGACAAGTCAGAATATTTTTTGAATATGTCATATGCATTTAATATAGTTAGATGAAACTATAAGTGACTAAGTTTTGTATACCACTGAAAGAGAAATTTTCACAAATCTTGCATAAACAAATTATAAAGTTTAAATGTAAAAGTTGTTGAACAATTTTGAATAAAGAATATTCTCCATAGACTTTTCAAATAAACAACACTTTTCAAATTTACAGAAATTTCATATATCCACTTCCATCACGGATATATCTGTAAATATAGGGGAGATCGGGGCAAGATCGGCATGTTAAGCTTTACTTAAATTTTGTGTAATAAATACTGCTGTAAACTGAAAAAAAAGCTTTGCATATTGTCTATTGGAATGTTACCTTACTATAGAACTGGTTAAAATCAGTTTGGAAATAAAAATAATTAAAATAATTACAACTTTACAAGAAGAGAGAAATTGACGAAGTTGCCCCGGGTATAGGGGCAAGATCGGCAACTTCTCTCTTTTTGTAAAGTTGTAATTATTTTAATTATTTTTATTAAAGTTGCCCCTGGTATAGGGGCAACAGTAATGGGGCAAGATAGGCACGTATATAAAATTATGTTATTAACAATGTATAAGTTGGAATTCACTATTAAAACAAAGAAATACAAATCCAACACCCATTTAATATTATTACAACGAAATGCAAGTTCAAAGACATATATACATGAATAACAAATGCAAACATGTTTTCATTTATCATCTGTTTGATTTTTATCCTTTGCTTCTAATGTGGCTTTATGTTGCCGATCTTACCCCGCTAGTCATGATTTCGAAACATTAAGTACAACCCTGAGAACAGAATGCCAAGCCACGATCTGGCCACGTGAATAAGTTGAAGTTACATCCTTCTAACAGGAAAAGTAACTTTCGTTATCATGGAATTATAACAAAACCTGCCAATTCAATATAAATGGAAAAAAAATATTATATGGAATTGAACGAAAATGAAAATTTGCTTGATAATTCAACTACGCTTGTTGGAGAACAATAAAAACACTACACTCAACAAGCCACCAATAAAACTCAACTGCCTAACCTATAACCAAAGTCTCCTTTTAATTTGTTTTTTAAAAAAAGAGCTTGACAAACTTGCCCCGCATGCCGAAGTTGCCCCGATCTCCCCTATTTAATCAAATTTGTATGACCATTTTTCAAATTAAGAGTATAGAATTCTTGTATAAATTATTGAACAATCAATAATACTGTAAGTATTTAAATTCCTTTGAATATAATAGTTATATATGTTTTAAGGTTCTAACTATCAACGATTATAATGCGGTAACAATCGCTACAGCTAAAAGCATAACGGACCGAATAAACTACAAATTCATGTGTACTCTGCAAATTTTGGATCAAGTTTTAGAATCTGTTGACAGAGTGAATGTAGCTCTACAGTCGAAAACCATTACTATCGACAAAGCCTCTGAATTAATCAAGGGATTAACAAGGCAGATTCAAAATATTCGCGAGACTGTGGACAATGTTTTCGAAAAGGCGAAAAACGTAAGTAAAAGAATGTGACATTGAAGGCAATTTTCCTGAAAAGCGACGAAAGCAAATAAAAAGACACGATTTAAGCGAAAGGTAAGACGCTGGCTACGATATTACCCAACAACAAAGTTTCAAAATTCAGATAAATGAAGCAATGGATAAAATAATTTCTGAATTCAAATGGCGATTCAAAAACTACACAACATTCACCACTTTTTTAATTTTTTGATAGTACAAGGTATAACTATATATTCAGTTGAAGAACAAAAAAATCATGCTGCTGACTTGAGTATCAAATATTCTACAGATATAAATGCCACAGAATTTTTGGGCCAAATTAGAAACTTTGAGGAGTCAAGTTGAATCGACCGCATTATTTGATAAATGTAAATGTCAGTCAAGTCTGGGTCTTCTTAAAGCTATAGTAGAACTGGATTTAAAAGAAATGTTTCCCAACTTAGTAGTCGCTATAAAGAATTTTTTTTAACAATGCCAGTGACTGTAGCTTCCTGCGAGAGGTCATTTAGTAAGCTCAAATTGATAAAGACGTACCTGCGCTCGACGATGGGCCAAGAAAGATTGTCTGAGCTAGCAATTTTTCGATTGAACGCGACACAGCACGGCTTCTGTCGTATGACAATGTCATCAAAGACTTCGCAATGAGGAAAGCGCAGAAAGTAAATCTATAAGTACCTAGGTAATGTTTTTTCTTTTGCGTTTACGGTTTGCCTTAGCCTTGGGTCTTTACTATCTCTACTAACGAGTGTCTGGTGTCATATTTGTATTGTTTTATTGTGTATTTTGGCAAATATTTTCGAATAAACATTTTTTTTTTACTAAATATATTCTAAATTCTACTAAGTATGTACCTGTAAATAAAAATTTAGTTTTTAGATTTATTTTTATAGACATTTTCCATTTATTGTCAGAACCGAATAAGATTAGAGCATTTTTCAAGGGCGTAGTTACAGAAGCTCGCACCGGCGTATAAAACGCTAGTTACGGCGCTGAGTCGACGTAACGAGTACCTTAGATCGAGTAGCCAGCTTAACTTTACAGCTTACAAAAAGATACAACATACAGATTGTACAGGTTTACGCTCCGACAATTTCCAGACGAAGAGATAGAAGAATTCTATTACGATGTAGCCGAGACACAATAATAGAAGCCATTTCAAATATCTAATTGGAGACTTTAATGTCAACGTGGGAAAAAGAAACAACCAGGAACAAGTAGTGGGGACTTATGGATTTGGTGAAAGGAACGAAAGAGGAGAAAGACTGGTGCAATTTGCAAGTTACCAGAACATGTATATATCGAATACATTCTTCAAGAAGAACCCCAACAGGAAATGGACCTGGGAAGCACCAAACGCTGTGACTAAGAACGAAATTAATTACATTCTTACCAACAAGACCCACACAGATAAAGATGTCAGTTATGATAAAATTAAATTTACATTTTATCATTTTTATTGAAACTTATTATTATTATATTATTATTATTCATTTTCATCGGGAAAACATTTCAAAGTGTGGTTTCAATTCTATTTATTTATTGGAGTGCTTGTGGATACACGATATTTTTTGTTTTTCCGTCTGGTGCGTACACGAATAAATCAGATTTTCCGATGCGTGAGCTGGCCACATACAGTTGTATATGTGAGAAGCACGGATTCTTTAAATTTAACAACTTTACTAAATTAAACAATATTAAACAACTTCCCAAAGTTTCACGGCAATCGGATAAACGATGTGGTAATTCATGAAGACACACACACACACATATACATTCATTTATATATATATAGATTACTGCAGTAAGAATATTGAAATTTAAATTTAGGCCATATGCGGGACCCTAGATTGCCAATATAGCGCAGGGACAGTGCTGAACTTAAATATTTTGTTTATTTAAATTTAGTGATTCTATGTGGCATGCGGATAAATCAGTAAACCAATGACAGTCTGTTTAATACGAAACAAACCATGTCATTGGTTTGTTTACTTTTCTGCTTTCTCCAGTTTGATTCGTCTTTGTAGGTAAGCAAGCCAATTCTTCATTCATCTAACATTCTTCGCTTTATATAAAACGGAGCCGTTCATTGGATTACTTACCTACATGACTAATTTAAGAAAAAAATATATATATGTTTTTTAAAATACTTGTTAAAGAGTTTTAAAGTTTTTATATTTATAACAAGCATTTTAAAATATAATTACTTTTTTAAAAGCTATGCAATTAATGTACAAACATATTTTAAATACGATTAATGAAAATTAAAAAAAATAGTTTCTTATCAGTCCGATAGGTGGCTAAATGTCGTAGTGTTTTGTAGTCAGAGGGGGAAACTTGATTTGACCAGAAGTAAATAGCGAAGTTTTCACTCAAGTCACGTGGATTGTGTTCAGTCTTGAATAATGTCTTCTAAAGAAGCCAGCGGCAAAGGTGAAAATCTATTGAAGATTATAATATTTCTGTATTTTCGTATTCATAAATATTTACAAGTAACTTATAATCCTTGTCAATAAAGATCCACTTTAATATTCACTTCATACTTGAAAAATGTTTATTCAAATGTGTGAAAATTTTATCCTACGTTCTTAATATTATATGAAGAATGTCATCTTGTATGTTGGATTTTTGGCTCTGGTAAGATTGTAGCTCTGAATGAAGTAACACAGCATTTCCCAAACTTCTTGGTAAAGTGGATGGTAAGATGTAAACTCTGAATGAGGGATTTCCCATCCCCAGAGTTATAGACTTCCCTGTATGAGCAGAATGGAAACATATGCGTATATGCAACCTTTTGCAAGATATTTGTCTCGAAAGGTCAGTTTTACCCCGTAAGCAAAAAATCCTATAGCAAAAGATGTAGATGAACCGTGAGGATTTTCTCACGGTTCGTCCACATCTTTTGCTATAAATTTTTACAATTGACAGAGAAAGAATGAGGCTCTAATTATTTTTATTTGTTATTATTTCATTGGATGATTAAATTAAAAAATATATGGATAGCTGCTTGTTTAAAAATAGTTATAAAATAAACAAATTGTGCATTTGATTCATTTACTTCAGAGATGTTTTAAAAGATTTGTAGAGCTTAGAATTTCGGTTGCAGTGCCTTAGTGCTCTATGGAGCAAGCTTTGGTAAATGCTTGGATAGCATTTTGCTCTATTAATTTGAAAACAAATTTAATTTTATGAAACAATTGCAAATAAGCTGCTAAAATGGTAGTTCATAAAAATCATACATATGTTTTTAATTATTTATAAAATATTATAACTCTTTTACATTGTAATAACGAGTATTCTCCTCATTTTGAATTGCTAGCTCAAAAATCTAATCTGCCATTAAATTAAAAATCTTTTTAATTCTTGATTGGTTGGTCTGTTCCTGTGCTTGCTGAATGGTTTCTTGCATCAGTTCAACATTGCCATCTGTAGTCTTGTGTAAACAATCCTTGGAAGAATTTTCCATATATTGTTAGTTGCTGTAAATCTTGATTTTTCAAGATTTATCCAATTTGGAACACTTTGTCCCTCTTGGAAATTTTTCTGGAATATCCAGTTTTTCTATTTCTACCTGAAAAAATTTCAACTTGTATATGAAAAACAACCAAATAGATATTGTAGATGGTAGGTATCTTAAAGCATTTTATATGCACATGCCACCTGTTCTCACATACATATGCTTTTAGTAATCTATGGCACACATCATGTTCTGTTGGCCCTGTGTAATGCTGTGTGATGGCTTAAAAACTATTGGTGGTTGATGAATTGTTTAGTTTGTGTGTTTATCAACAATGGATCAATGATTGCATCTGACCATAGTTTAGTAGTAGCTTTTTTTTTACTCTCTTTACTGTGGGTGATAAGATCTTTATTTTTAATCACATGGTTTGGTCATGTCCTCAATGTGCTCCCTTTGTGGGCTTCCTTTGTGGACATGGCCAGGAGCAGCCAGGTTTTCTAACAAAAACTTAGTTTTGAACTTAACTCTGTCAGGAGAATATGCAGACTATTTGATAACTTCAATGTGTTCCTTAAACCACTTCATAGTTTACTTAAAGGTGAGGATTGCGGCATTATCCTGTTGAAATGTCCAGTTCTTTCCTCCAATTTTTTCAGCTTGGGGAGTAAGAACTTAGAAAGGATCTGTATGTAATGTTCAGAATTCATTCTTGAAGGAGAGATACAATTTTAAGTTTTCCAACCCATTCAATTTCACTTCAGACCATAACAGATCTACTGTCCATTTGTTGTTTAGGTAGAATGATCTCTTTATGCAAATTGAAAGTAATAGACACAACTGACAGGACTTCAAATCATTTATTATCAGAAAATACTGTATGTTTCTATTCTTCTTTTCACTGACATGCTTTTTAGCTAAGTTTAATCTAGTTTGTTTGTAGGTGATTGATATTAGTAATTTTATTTAATTTTTTTCAATGTAAATGTAAAGCTTTTTGGATTGTCCACTGGACAGTTCAAATATAATATACACTGTGTTTTTCAACAATGTGACAATGTGCTTTTGAACTGTTGCTTGCAAACTTCAAAATGTATGTTATGTCATGAAGTCAAAACTTTCTTGCAACTAGAGCATGTTTTCTTTCTGAATTACAGAAAGGAAAAATAACCTAGTAGTAAGAAATCTGAATCTTTCAGAAAACTTATTATTCCATGATGATTTATTTTCAATCAAAGTGCAATTTTTCCATCTTGAAACATCATCGTAGTCCCATACTTTGATCTTACAATTTCCTAAACATTTAACATTTATATCTTCGTATTTTGCAAAAAAATATTATCAAATGATACTTAATTTCAAACCAATTGTGATTGAATTTGTACATTAGAATTCAATAATCCCAGAAAAAATTAATTTGTAAATCAGGTAAGACCTATTTAAAATCCAGGGTTACTGTTTTGATTGGAACTGTCTTCATCAGTTTGTTTTTTGTTTTGTTTATAAAACTAAAAAAACAAGAAAATGCTTTGCAGTGCAGTTATATCAAGAATGTTATCTTGTATAATGGATAAAATTTTCACAATATTTGAATAAATACCTTTCAAGTTTGAAGTGAATTCTTCAGTGATTTTTTTAACAGGGACTGTGTTATATATTGCTGTAACATATGATAATTTTGATAAATTATTTTCAGATGTTCAACATGATATCTCTTTCTTGTCTTCTCTTCCACAAGTAAGTATCTTTATAATAATGTTTGTACATATAAACATCCCTACAAACCTGATGTAATGCAATTACTCACTAACAACTGACATAAATCATTGGGCTATAATTTGGAATAAATAATTCAAAATTACAAATGAATTTGGCACAAGAGGGTGGTGTTAGGCACCATCTCTTATTAAAATTAATAATTAAATATTAAATTAAACAAGAGATGGTGCTTAATGCCTACCTGTAGACCAAATTATTTGACATTTAATTATTAATAGTAACATTAATGTAGCCTGATATAATCTGGCAATCATTTGGCATTAATTTAAAAATCAACTGAACTCAACATCTATTATCACATGATGGCATGAGTTTTGTATAAGTTCATTATTTAAGGAAGAATGATTGAATGATTATATCAGAAAATAATAATTTTCTGAAGATTTTTTAAAAGCATTTTTCTTCCTTTTTCAATAAATTCGCAGATAAACATCGATGTGTGGAGTATGGCAGCTGCAAAAAAGTTAAAATGCTCATAATTTCTGATAATTGCATCTTTTAGAAAAATTTTCAGACAAAAGTTTATTTTTTGTGTATGATCACAATATATAATAAAAAATTGGATTTCACATTTAAGAAAATGAAGTTGACCCATTTTTTATTGTGGTGCCATCTATGGCAAAACTGATATGTAATCTTGTTGCTACTTGAAGGATATCTTTGGTTTAACTAATTTTTTTATAGGATATGTATTTTTTAAGTTATTCCAGTGGATTGATTAGAATGAACCACCCTGTGCATATAAATAATCAGCATCAGTGGTATACTCAGGATTCAGTTTGGGGGAGCGAGTTGAACAGATAAAAAAGTTTTTAATGTGAATTCAATAAAATTCCCACCTTATGTAACTGCTAATTCACAAGTAGTAGGGAAATAGAAGACACAACACAATATAAATAAAAAAATGAATTTTAATTAAGNGCGTATACCCCTGGCAGCTTATCCTCCTTAGGTTTATCTTTTTCATTGCGTAAAAGCTTAAACATAGACGGACATCTTCTGAACGACCGTCGTAATCCTTGTTTTTTAGCGATTTTTTGGTATAAGGATACGAGGAAGGGGTTGTATGTGACTATTGTGATGGGTAGGTCTTGTTCTATACTATTCCCCATCTGTGGCGGTGGTAGGCCGATGCTGTAATGTCGAGCTAACTTATGGACCATGTTATAGAATCCCTGCTGACCGGCAATGTTAAGTATATAGTTCAATTCTTGAACTAATGCCTCCTGAGTTGAAGAATGGGTGTGGGCCTCTTAACCAGTGCTTTAAAGACCGCCATTTTATATCTGAATGGGTCACAGGAGTTCGCTGGGATATACATTGGGAAGTGACAAGCTTTGCGGTATACAGAAGTTTCCAAGGTGTCTCCTCCAAACGTAATGCTCAAATCAAGAAAATGTACATCTTTATCACTATGTTGTTCCAGCTCTATGGTAAGGCCATACGGATGATCAGATGAACGACAATCCAAATTATAGCCTGATGATTTACGGCAGTTGTTTGTGAGTTACAGTAATGTTTGATTTGATAGTATAGTTTAGATGTACTGTACGTAAGGTACAGTACATCTAAAACTATGTACAACAAAATATATATTCAAAATTAAGCATTATTTAAAATTTAATCTTAAGTAAATATGTAAACACATATTTCATCAATTACATATTTCTTAAGATATTGGTATATTTACAGAGATTCACAGTTTTATCAATGGTACAAGGAGATGTAAATTTCCTTAAAAACTAGATGTATTTAGTATTCAAAACTACAAAAAAAACATAAATCCAGTTATTGAATAAATTCAGTTTATTGAGAGAACAAACATTTTCAACCTTTTTAAAGTCATCTTTACATTTTAAAGAAGGAATGCAAATTGAATTGAAAATCAAATTCAAAAGTATTAGTCTGATATTTAAGGTTTCATATGCAAGAGCTGAATAAGTAATTAGTTAATACAAAAATAATCAAAGGTAAATACAGAAAATATAATGCCAGCTGAATAAAATCATTAATACATACAAAATAAGAAAAAAAGTAAATACAGTAAATATACAAAAATAAATAAATGTAGGGATAAATAAATAACAGTAGGAATGGCACCCATATCGCAAGTATGGTGCGTACCTTATTAGGTATAAGTAAAACATTTTTGACATATCTTAACAGAAATAGTTTATCAATAGTTTCTGATCCCTGACTTTCTTCAACCAGTCAAATGCAAGCCAATCAGAAAAAAATCAGCATTAATTGCAACTGCATACTGTATTGCAAAAGATATTTCTCTACTATAATTTGTTGTTGAGCTTTGAAATTATAATAGACACTTTGGTTCATAATTTCAGATATAGAGATTTAGGAAAAAGTTATTTGAGATAAATTATCATAGAAAATATATTGAATTTAGACTAAAAATGCAGGGAAAAAATAAATAGTATTCAAAAGTTTTATTTTGTTTTGTATGGAAAAATGTATTTTTGTTTTACTTTATTGTTTTTTCTGTGCATTTGTTTTTGACGTGTGTTTTTTTGTTTTAATATTAATGATGATGTTTTAAATGATTTTTTTTTTATTGAATTGGGGAAGAGATCAATTGTCCAGCAACACTTCTATTGTATTTGTAAAATAAAATAAATTGTAAAAAATTTTGAGATAAATATGTTTGAGGTAGACAGGTTCAACTGCATATATATATTGTACAGTATACTCTTAGTTAAACAATACAAACTTTCAGTATTTGTCTTGAAAGCAAAACTCAAATCATATGCCTTTCTACTTTTATACTTATCTTTTAATGCTGAATAACTTTGTTTTTACTTACACATTTACTTTACATCTTGATTATTGTAATTTTTTAAAAATTAGAATTTAGCAGATTAAATTTTGACAAATTCAAATATTTATTTGGTTTATTATTATTTCAGAAATCATCTACTACAATTAGATTTTTTGACAGAAATGTAAGTATTAATAAATTTTTATTTAAAAAAAAAACTATGGAATTGGATTTCAATTGTTCTGTTTTTATTTTAACAAAAATTCAGATGAATATAATCTTTTATTATACAAAAGTTTAAATTAGAATTGTCATTTCTGGAAGAATTTGAAAATTTATATAAATAAAAATATATAATTTTTACTATTACTATTTTAATGTGAAAATTATATATTCTCCTATTCACACTCAGATTCTTTAACATTATAAAGTCAACACACCTTACTACTGAGAAAGCACATTTATTAAGCTAAACAAACGTTTTCAACCCATTTCATGGGCCATCATCAGGTTAAAGACGTTCGAATGAATGGCTTTTCGAACACGTTCAAATTTAAATTATGTTAGAACATACGTTAAAATAAGATTACGTAAACAAGCATAACGAAATTAATACAATAAACAAGAAACAAAATAAAATACAAAACACGGTAATTCTCCTTAATTACATATTGTATTAAGGAGAATTACCATATTTTGTATTTTATTTTGTTTCTTGTTTATTGTATTAATTTCGTTATGCTTGTTTACGTAATCTTATTTTAACGTATGTTCTAACATAATTTAAATTTGAACGTGTTCGAAAAGCCATTCATTCGAACGTCTTTAACCTGATGATGGCCCATGAAATGGGTTGAAAACGTTTGTTTAGCTTAATAAATGTGCTTTCTCAGTAGTAAGGTGTGTTGACTTTATAATGTTAAAGAATCTGAGTGTGAATAGGAGA